AGCTCATTCTTAGTAGTCATCTTAGCCTTTTTTCCACTGAACTCTAGCATTTACAGAGGATTACACATTTTTAGAACGATTTCAATGAAGAATTTGAAAAAAAGCACATGTTTCCGAATTAAAATTTCTCGCAACAGATTATTATTTGAAATGATAAATATCGATAGCTCCTTTTGAATTTCTGCCGCCTAGATGGTATAGTAGTTAGGGGAGCCTACTGGGATACCGAAGAACCCGGTATCGAATCCCGCAAAAAATGGCTTTAATTGTCCGTCCTTTCATAGGAGGTAAAAGTAACCCACCTATTAGGTGCTTCCACATTAAAATGGCCATCATTTATGGTCTTTAGTAGTGGCCAAGCCTAAGTCGGCTATGGACCCGCCAATGGGGGAGGACTTTTAAATTTATTCTTCTTTCAAAATGTCATATGTAAAAAAACTGTAGATGGAAGGATATGTTTTTGTGCTTTCAGAAGAGAAATACTTCTTTTCTATAATTCGGATACGTTGTGAAATACATAGTATTAAAATTTCGAAGTGAGAAATAAGCAACGTTTTTAATCGAAAGAGGAAAAACAGCCGGTCATTACTTCTACATGAAACAGATTCCAAATGACTACCCGAAAAAGATATATACTGTTTCGAATGTGTCTAAAAGTAAATCATTGGTAAGAAAGAGAGAATCCACCTATACAGAAATTAGTTACACAGCTTTTAAATACATCTGTAGCAACAATAAATAATATAATAAGCCAAGATTTACTACTTAAAAAAGATAAAAGATATGATGTTCGCCAGCATTTTTCAAGGAAAATGACTCTACGCAGAACATGTAGAACCCTGTATGAAAATTTAGGTATATTTAGGAGATAAATTGAATTACATCATGACTCTTGATGAAGCATGGATTTACTTAAATAATTGAAACCAAGAAAGGCCTTTTATTACACAAAAATGAAGAGAGAAAAATGTACAAACCTTGTTCCATCAATGCAACGAAAGTTTTAGTGAGGGGTTTATCATTGTGGTAGGATTTTCTTAAACAAAAAATAAATAATAATAATAAAAAAAAAATGTTGAAATAAGCTTAACGTATTATCAAGAGAATGTTTTGAAAATTCAGTTTCCTTCCCTAATGACTTTCAAAGGGTGAAGCTTCATCAAGACAAAGCAACTAGTCATATTATGAAACGTTCCCCTACATTCTTTGAAAATAGGTGCATAACTCGATAGCACTGATTGATACAGATATTGCCATATACATTGATATACTAATACTGGTACTTGATAGTTTGATACCGCCGGGGAGCGCACCGGAGCCCTAAGAAGGCTTCAGCACTTCTTTTATGTAACTGAACAACAATTTCAGTAGACATTTGATCTCAAAAATTTTATTTTCAAGCAGTAAATGGTATTAAAAATCGCTTATTAAATTTTAATTTATCTCTTTATGTTTTATTTAATTTTAATTATTTAATCCTTAATTATTGTTGCTTAGACGGTATAGTAGTTAGGGAGCCTGCTACGGAATCGAAGGGCTCGGGTTCGAATCCGGGAGAAGACATGGATGTTTGTAAGTGTATACTGTCAGTGTATACTGGCAGCACTCTAAATATACTGCGCGCCGAAAGTCTCTCGTGTGGCTTGGCGGGAGAGGAGAGGGTTGGAAGACCCCCGTATCCCCTTCCTCAAAATTGGGGGAGGAAAATAGAAATCCAACCTCTCTTCCAAGTAGGCTCTGGCAACCATTGTTCTATGTAATAGGGACAAAACAACAACAATCTTTAATTATTTAAATAAATAATGATAAATTAATTATGAATTAATTAAATAAAATTATCAATTACATAATAATTAATAAATATTGATTATTAATATCAGTGCAATATAATTAATTAATTTGATAATCATTAACTATTTAATTTATAAATTATTAATAATTTTAAAAGTCATTTTATTTATTTATTTACTCTTGTTCCTCTTTCCTGACGGTCTTCCATAGGGCTCCCGCACTTCTACATTTAGAAATTAAGCCCTGACAGGTATTGCATATACATATATATATCAAATGTTGTATGATCTTAAATTCATTTAGTGCGTCAGGAGCAGAAATTTGGATGGGAAAGCAGATTAAATCTTCATTTTTTATTTTAGCAAACATGTTGCGGAGACAATCAAGTTGGCACATTAATTGTACCTGTTCCAAAAGGCTTACAATTTTGATAATTTTGTAGCAAGAAAACAGCAGCAAACAGACAGCAGTGAAGCTAAGCCAAAGCATAGAAAGGCAAGTGTGTAATGTTCAGGATGAAATCTGAAGTCAAACTGAGTTAGTTTTAGTTCTCAAAGCATTTTAACTGAACAGTTAATATTGCTGTAAAATTATTATTGGCTGCTTGAGTTCAGTTTACATTACCAGAATTACGCAAGAGTCATATGACATAGATTTTTCTCGAAATGACGCAGTGCAAATAGATGTTGCTATTTTTAGAATAGAGAAGGGAAATTAATTTACGATGCTAATTTAATCTTTTACATATTCTTTTTCTTACATATATCTTTTCAACGTAAGATTACATATTCCTAAAACGTTTTCTGAAATTTCACCTATGGATTATTATGCCTTTGGTTTCTTGAAAAGGACTTTATCCAGGTGCAAGCTGAACGCCATTGATGGAATATGAAAAGCACTGGGATGGAATTTACATTTTAAACATAAATTAAACGACTCCAAAATCGTTATACAAATGTGTAATCACCTTTTGTTGTTTCGGTTAGGAAAATATTGTTTCGTACATTTGCTCGTACTTTTATCAGTTCTTCGTAGAATTTTTGTTTCGTGTCAACATGCCTTTATTGCTTCTTGAACACTATAATTTGTCCTTTCATTTTCAAGCGGCACAGTACAGATTCTTAATTTCCTTGCAGCACAGCATGGATTAGTGTTTGCAGAACAAAGTAGCATAATTCATTACTTCCGAACAAAGTCCGAAAACAAACTTCAATTTCTTAGTGAGGCGGAGTTAGGAAAATAAAATAGAATCTCTGTTAACAGGGTCTTTCTCTATCAGCTGAGGTCTAGCCGGCAATCAGTTTAAGGCAGGGATGGCCAACCCGCGGCACCCACGCTACAGTGTGGCACGACGAAGTTTTAACAGTGGCACGCAACAACTTCCTTATATATCAGTATAGTGTATAATGTATCATGTATGCATAATTTACCTGTCATAAGTTCTGGTGCAAGACATACGAACCAATGTAACATGATGCTGCCCTTGGATCGCATATAAATCTTAATATAATTTTCTATATCTAAAACATTCCCATGCACGTAATCAAAAATAATATAATGTAATACGTATATTTTCATTGTATGGGTCTTTGTATATGTAAGATTATGTACTATTTGTAATATGCCATTATATGTAATGTAGTACCTCAAATGTAAATGCTGCATGAACCAAAGTATTATTGTATGGCAATGCACTATCTGCCAAGGTCCTTGTATGGCACTGTATTTTAAATCGGTGACTGGTGTCAGGAGTCCATGTGGCCTCTCACCTTTCCCCATACCATTTTGGGGTGCTCTAGACAAGGGGGACGCGGCGCTATACCAATTAACCGCTATGGTAGAGTTGTGGTGCTCGCGTCCTCCGTCACTTGTCACTTGTATCATTTCCTTACACATATAAACACATTAGAATAAATAAAATAATTCAATCTACCTGCAAGACATTAGATGTTACCCAACTAAAATCCAAATCGAAATTATTGACCTACAGCAGCATACTGTACTGACAAGAAGATATAAAGAACTTATTTCATCTGCAAGTGATCCAAATTATATTGAATTTTGGAAATTTAAACCAAGAAGCAATTGTACAAATTTACACGATTTGTCTGTCAGCTATTGTTGTAGGTTTGGATCAACATATGTATATGAACAAATGTTTTGTATAATGAACAAAATATTAAACAGAAAATCAAAATATTTTGATAAAATCAAATTATTAAATTTTAGAAATTTATACCGAGATGCAATTTGCCAAATTTACTCGATTTGGCTGTCAGATATTGTTGTAGATTTGTATCAACATATGTGTGTGAACAAATGTTTTGCATAATGAACATAATAAAATCAAAATATCGTTCAAGGTTAACTGGTATGCACCTAAAACACCTAATTTTGTTTGCATTTTCAAGAACTAATCCTAATACAAATAGATGACTAGGAAAAAAAACAACTAAATTTTTGAAACCTACATTATTTAAATACTGACTGTTTAATATTTATTTAGAATTAAGTATTTCAAATTATTCATTTAATTTTATACATGACTTAATTGACTGAACCTTTAAAAAGGTTTATTAATAAAGCCGTAATGTGTACTTTTTTTAGTTATTATATTATTTTTAAATGTAATATTATTTTTTAATTTATAAAAAATGTGCTTTTTGCATAAAAATCCCATAATCTAGTTATAGATAACATTTTTTCACCTTTTTATGTTTTTTTAGTATGTTCGAAAAGTTGGAAGTGGTAATAATAACTTTTTTTTTTCAGATTGTGTCACTCTTCATAAAAAGGTTGGCAACCCATGGTTTAAGGAAATCATCGGGATAACGTAGCAATACAACTTTTTATAGCGTTCGCGAATATTCATATCATAATTCATCTTTTGGCCTTTATCCGGACCCATAAAAGCCAGTTTAATCGGTAGTTTACTACATAATAATGATCATTACTTCATTTCTGCAATTCATATAGAATATCTGATTCCGCATAATTACATAGAATTTCTAACTGTACGCATTTTTCTAATAATATTAGCGTTATTACAGTAATCATAAGCAATAAATACGCATCTCCATAGGCGAGGAAACTGAGATCTTTTGCTAAAAAACAAAATGGAAGCTTTTTATGTGCATAATAAATAGAATAATGCTATTGGGTTCGCAATCTGCCGCGTGGGGTGTACAAATATATATTAAGAAGAAAACGTCGTCACTTGAAAACAGTTACTTATTTATATAATCTGGAATGCTTTGTTTTCTTCCTAGTTTCTGAAGTTTTCGCTGTCAGTATGTGGTTATTAGGTCTCATTTCTCTGTGTAGTGAGTTCCCATTTTGTTACTTAATTTATATTTTGGATAACGTTCTTTTTCCCATCTTTAAATATTTGCCATATGTTTCTTTTGCGATTGCAGGTTTCGTTTCCTTGATCAGCGGAGAGAACTGTCTTCAAAAAATCCTAAAATGTTCCTCTTTACGAAATACAACTATTAACAGTTACGAAGGCTTATTAGAGACGGAGGAAGCTCTTGCGGGTCTATGCCGGTAAAAAGTTACTAAATTTTACATGAAATAATAATTTTGTTTAAAATAATCATACATTGGTAGTTTCATTAAAAGTAAATTTACTAAAATTTTAAATATGAAATTTATGTAAAGCATTTAGAAGTAATTTTATTACAATAGTTAAAAACATTTATTGCATTATCTAGATGTTTAACATAGCGAGTGAGTTTTAAGCACGTTTACAATTTTAGAAGGGGAAAAAATTGTGTTTTTCTTCGGTATTTAAATATATTGATAGTGTAATACTTGGAATTTGGGCACTGTTCTGTTATTGGGACCGGATTCAGAAATTTATGAATATATGCACGAATATACGCACACATATATTCGTACTTTCATATATACATACAATTCTGAGTTTCGTCCTGATAATAGAACAGTACCCAAATTTGGAATGATGAATTCTTTTTTTATTAAAGGGAAGGAATATGTAAAGTTTTAAAATTGATTACTTAAGTAACTAGATATTGCTGTGAGTAATTTTAGACTTCATTGCTCTTACTGAAGTTTCTCGAAGCAGCTATTCTTGCAGTAAGGAGGAAAAAGACTGACATATAAACGCACTTTAAAGTAGCTTCTGTAATTTACTAAATAAAACTCGTAAACTTGAAGAACCTTAAGTTTAGGGATCATTTGAAGTCAGTCGGGTGTAATTTAAAATTTTACTTCAATAAATTCTTCGTGGTTTATTTAGAGTAGAATAAAACTTGTTTAGTTTGTTGATTTCGTTTTACGCTTTTTACTTTAAAGATTAGGGTACTTTATATTCATTTAACGATTTGAATGCTAGAATTAATGATCGGAATTTTGAAGAATTTGAACTTGTTCTTCATAACATACGGAATTTATCGTAAAAATACTCTTCGAAATACATCAAGAAGTGAAATTTCTTCAGCCCTCGCATAGTATTTTATTTTGAATTATATTTGGGTAAAATACTTCAAAGGAGAGCTGAACGGAAGTACATTTAATCAATTTTGTGATCACTTTTCCTTATGTTAATGGCTTAATATAATTCATATAATGGAAATTCATAATTTTAGGTTGCATATTTGATCAAGAATATTAAAATAAAACTTATATTAAAACTGTAAATTAAGTTAATGAATTTTATTGTACACATTTTATTCTGTATAATGCAGTGAAATAAGATTCGTTAGCTGCGAATGTAGTAAAAATACTCTAATTTGGCACAAAATTACAATCATTTTAACATTTATTTAATTTAAAAATAGATCTCATCACTAAAAATCCATAGGCTGCTTAGTAATCAAGGACTAATCTTTTCACCATTCAATCTGTGAATGTTAGCAACTGCACAATGGTAAAAAATTAACAGAATCTGTAAGTTATTTTAAAATTCATTTGGCAGACTGTTTTTGCTCGATCTGATTTAGCGATCAAAATTCTACAAGGGTCCATTTGTATGGTTGAGTGGCAAGAGCAATAAACGCGGGTATTTCACATTCGTATGCTACCTAGGTGTTTTCGAGGCTTTCCCCATACGGAAAGTGAATGCGAGTTAATTTCGTTTGAAAAGTCCTACACGAAAGCATTTTTTGCTTTGGCAGATAGTCGTTGCGTGGTTAGCCATACTCAAACTAAGTCGCGGCAATTAGTTTGACTATTAAGTAAACATTTACGAGAAACTCGAAGCTAAATTCAAAAATCTTTACGGAAGTTTGAAACTTCTTGTAATACTTTATTTCCATTTTTAAGTATGTACCCATGAAAGGATTTCAAGGAAATCGGGTGTATAAAACGGAATAAAAAAATTTTAACATTTTAATGGAATAGGAAAGTAAACTAAATTAAAACTAAACTAAATTAAATTAAAAATTACGCGAATTAAAAATCACTGCAAACCATAGCGCCTTCATATTTCGTATGTTAAAAAGAAATGAATTTTAAACTATAAAACTAAATTTACTGGATTTTCACTTCATCGCTTAAGAACATTTGAAGTTTAGAATGATTTATTGAAAGGTACAGATCCGGCTACTTGAAAATGATTGCAAAAATAAGCCTGAATACTTTAAATATTAATAACAATTCCGATATTTCATTTGGTTTTGACTTGCTTTCATGCATCTTGATCTTAAAATGTCCAGTTTCAAAAGTTACAGAAATCAAAATTTGAACAAGTGCTTCCTTTAACTACATTAAAACAGTTTCATCTACGGCCAGCATAAACTTCCATTCTCATTCGAAATTTGTTTCTTTTAACTAAAACGCGACCGGGTTACACTTATTTAAGCATCGAAATAGTTAGTGTTAATTCTTTAAAATCGTCTTATCATTATTATTGCTTACGAGACTCTTACTTTATTTAACGGTAGTAATTACCATCAAAATGTTTCGAAATTAAATGCTAGGTTAAGCAACGAACTATAAATTGTATTTGTCCAGCAGGACAGTTTTAACTAATATCGGATTAATCTTGAGGAGTTCATATACACTTATCGGTGAGTAAGACTTCCAATCCCGACAATTCTCAACTCTTACTCAAACCTCTGATATACTGACTCAGAAATTCTGATCGCCCACCAGCGGCCGAGCGATAAATTCTTAAAACACTGCAGAGTTTAGAATCTCGTCAACGAGTTGGCTGCATGGGCGTATTTCCCTCATGTGTAACATGTATGAGACAGTTTCGCATAGAAAGTACTCCATGAGGCCATTCTTCCCCTTAGATACTCGAGATTGTACTCGAGGCTTTGCCGTAATCCATAAACCAAACCGAAATTCTGGTGAATGATTCCTAACGTGTAAAAATACAGCCAACTACCTTAAGTGCTCCACGAAGGCATTCTTTATCATGCTAAATATCCTTTTCATGGTGTGGTTTATTGGTTATACTAAATAGTTTGCAATAATTTGCCATAAGCTTGCATAACTAACTGAAATGGTAATAAAGGCAGTGATGTTTAGCTAGCAAACTTAAGAAAACTTCAGGTATTCAAATAAAGGTGTCTAAAAGATTGCCTTCATGTAGACAATTTTGATTCAAACAACAGTACTTTTATAGACATTCCAGGAAAATTGTAAATAACTTTTAGGCAAATCTTGTTCATAAAATTCTCATAATTCGCAGAGTATGTGCGCGTAACATTAACGGGCTGATCAGGGAAGTCATGAAACAATTCATCCCAAATTTTTTTCCCTTTGGAACTATTTTATACTGGCAAATGGTAGGTATGGGAATATTAAATGTGTAGGGACATTTTATACTCGCAAAGCATAAAAAATGCATACTTTTTCTTTTATGTTGCGCCAGTAAAAAATATTCCCACACATTTTAAAATTAAATAAAACTAAAATTTGATTAACAGTTGGCATTTTCGAAAAATTAATTTCATATAGCTCTCGGCAATAGACGAATTAATACCACGAACCCTAATAGCTTCGTTTAACGAACGGGCTGTGTACATAGGCACTCTCGAGGTTTTTCCCATCTAATATCAATAAGAGCCAGTTTTCCTTGAGAAGTCTTCCCCGAAGACTCCGTTGCACTCAGGCAGGCAGCCAGCCGTTGCGTGATTTGCCGAAATGAACCAAACCAATTACTTCTCGGAATTTAATAAATTTTAATCTAAATTCAATCTTGCCTTGTTAGGAAATGGTAGCTTCTAAATAGTAATTTTTTGAGTGTTGACAAATTTGATTATTTTACGAGTGTGAACGTATTTAGTAATATCGATTATTTCTTGACTGCTTATAAAATCATTTTACTTGCATGAACAGAACCAAATCTGATCAGTAGCAGCAAAATGTTTAATTGGGCTTTCATAATGAAATAGGAATCGAAATTTACCTTAGTTCACACTAGAACTTTCTGGCAGGCTATACAGTGGCTTTATAGCATCCCATTGCTTAAGGTTAAGAAAATTCAAGCTGTGGATATTGTAGATTTAGGTAAGAAACTGAATTCTGAACATATAATTTCTATACGTTAATTTAGCATAATAGTGAAAGTTTACTTCATTTTTAATTTACATTTACTTTTAATTTACTTCAGTAAAATACTTTCAGAGTTTGGATCTCATTTTAATGTGTAAAAATCTGTTTTAATTTTTCATAATAATTAAAAAGGCACATGAGGTATTTATCCACCGGGCTGTCGCTTTAGCTGAAAAGTTGCTCTTTTATTTTTGGAAATTGAAAAAATATTTTAAAATATAATGCATTCAGACTGAAGCAGCAGGCCAATTCAGATAGATTTTTCTGTTGGATAAACGTGTATATACTTGACCAACGCTTTGTTTCTGTATGTCGAATGTATGTTTTCGCAGTTAGTAGAGTTTTTAGCATAATCTAACGAAGATTTTGAAGTTTTCGTGAAAAACGCCGCTCACTAAATGTATAATTACTGCGGATGATTAAATTATTTTTTCAATTAAACTAAAAATAAAATTATATATGAGCTTTAAACTACAATAATTTTTCCTTTCAATGCAATGAAATTATCCGAATAGAGTAAAATGACTCAAAGTGTGTATTAACTATAGCGCCAAACTGCTTTTCCATTAGTGTTTTTAGGTTTTACATTTGCCGACTATCGTAGGACAACTTGTATGTCGTAAATATTCCCTAAATTAATATTAAAAATGTATTTGTGTAGTCTGAAGGTCTCTCGAACATCGGTTTTCTTTGTACATGTTTCTTGCACGAAATTATTTCGGATAAAACTAGCAGATAGCTTACTTACGTCTCAATGTTGCATTTTGCGGCTCATTTAGTATCTCTAGGTAGATAAACCTCGAAAGTTGTCTTAAACAAATAAACCAAACCATTAGTATCTCGTATTAAGGGAATTTTCCAGACCTTTAAACACCGATTTCAGACTCTTACCTAACCCACTAGTATCAGTGCGGGGTGGATTTGTACCCAGTTCCGATCAGGTGCACCAGTGGCCGAGAGGTTAATAACGTTGAGTATTGGTAGTTCCACTTAGTGTTAAAAAGCAGGCAAACGGAATTTGGTTCAATGGTTTGTTTGTATGGTTTTCCCTCTATTTCTAACGTCTACGAGGCAGCACAGAAACTCCTCCACGAAGGCATCCTTCCTCTTAGAAAAATTACCCCTCGAGGTTTTGTCATATTCAGGTAACCTAAACCTAGCCAGTTCTTATCGAATGGCCTGCCATAAATTCCAATATTCTATCTTATTAAAATACCTTACAGTGTATAAAACCACATGAATCCTAACAGGTTTTCTACAACTGTAGAGATGGACGATGCTATTATGGAAGAAATGGCAAGAATGAAAGCCTATGTTTCGTAAAACCCTCGCACAGGATATGGTGACGCATTACTACGTGCCGAAATTGAGTTTCACATTTACCTCATGTATATTGAACATGATCTGTCGGCTAATATCCGTTGTCTGACTTCTGGATACAAGACCGGGATAGACTGGATGACGTTTAAGACTCCTGGGTGGTTATACAGTCTTTATTTTCACAAGAATTAAAAGCATGTAGATAAACTAAATTTGGTACTGATGTAGTATTTGACCTACCGCTTTTATTCGGATATTTCTTAGATGACGCCGACAAAATACTAATTTTAAACATGAGATTTTAATGTTTTTAAATTAATTCTTTTAAAATGTCTTCCAATTTTAGACTCTTTTTGAGTCTTTCAGTCACATACACCTGTCCCGTAGCATGGCCAAAAAATGATCGTCACTTTTATTAATGATCTCCACCGCGCTTTTGCGAGAGATAACGTGGAAGAATTGGATGTGTAGTACTGTGCATGTTGTATTAAATCTTTAAAATCTCCCAGAAAGATTCAGCTGCTTGAGGGGGGGAAATAAATTCAACAGTGTTAGTATTGTTTCAGTCTAGCAGATAATAGAAATAACGGTATTAAGATTTAAACTGCTAAAATTTAAATTGCGTCATCTAACTGAAAGCCAGTAGATCGCATTACTCATTAATTTTATTAAGAGGAAGAGTAGGGGATAACAAAGTCAACAAATCTGAAAATCAAATGCGATACCCATGTCTAAAATCTTTATTCTGATTCAGCATTAAAAAGGTTTTTATTGGTTCGCAATCTCATGACTAAAACATCAGTTTCCATGTGTAATAGGAATACGAGCCATTTTCCCTTTTGTCCTGAACTATGTCGTTCATTCTCTTAAGCAGTTCTTTAGAAATACTTTAAGCAACAAACTAGGTACTTAAGAATGAAAACAATGTCATATTTTCCTCGGATAAATTTCTATATATGATTCTGTAAATTTACGATGTTGGGAAAGTCTACTTTATTTAAAAACGTTAATATTTTTTAATAACTCGCATTAAATTTCTTTTCAGTGCTTTAAGACCATACATAAACTGCGTTTCTAGAGCTGCAGTAACTTGCAATAAAGAACGACACTCCGTGATGCATATGGCCATGGTGGCTAAGCGACTATTTCTAGCAGAAATGTGTACATATGATTCGACCTGGTGGAAAAGTGAGTATTTTAGATTTGCTTCCAAAGTTGATATAAAGCGTTATTGTAAAGAATTTCAAGCTTATTAGTAGCAGACAGATTTGACGGTTGAACATTCCTAGTTCGACCTCAGTTTGAATACAGTTGTGAAAGAGTTGGCTGCAAGAGCGTTTTCAAGACATTGATTCCAAATCTTTGGAAAGTGTATAATATTTTAAAATAAGTTTTAATAAAATAAACACCAACAAAACTCTAGTTTTATTATTCCGTTTTGGGTGCTTCCTGCTTATTCGCACTCTTGTCATAAAGTTATGTAAAAATGTTCATGACGAAGCTAATGTCCTCTAAATAGTTGATAATCCAAAATATCGCAAAAAAGTATATATGTGGTAGAAGAGCAGAGGCGCATACGTAGCACGTTTGTTATCGGCGCTTTCACATAGCAAGGTTGTATAGATACCAAATTTATCATTGTTTCAAGTGAAAACATTGCTAACTACATGGGAAAATAGCCCGAAAAAGTATTTCTCTAAGATATTTTATTACAGAGGTTCCAAAGTTTCTTGTTTTCGGTTTTATAGATTGCTTTTGCATGGAATTCTTAATACCCCACCATTTTGAAAATAACTTATCGTTTCGAGCATTAGATCGGCGAAAAATTATTAGTCAAACAGTTCCTCAGTGCTCTTCAACGTACCTACGATTTTTCAGTAGGGATGCATCTAATCAAGGTAATCGGTATTGCCTTCAAACATCACATTAAATCAACGCTTTCTACTCTCGGTGGTGATTAACAGTACCGTTAATTTATAAATCGAATATGTATCCCAATAGAACTCTAATCCAGGAACTCTGATATTGCGATAAATAGGAATGAAAACTTTCGCGCTCCTCCCTGTGTGCAGGTCCCGCCAGCAGCTGAATATTGACAGTTTGAGCTCATTTGTGTTCTAGGCGAGCGGGCTGGCTGCATGTTTGGTTTTCACTGTTTTTCACTTGTGTAAGTGAACAGGAGCTACTTTCCTTAAAGTCCTCTACGAAGGTATACCTCCTCATAGGCAAATGGTCTTTGTGGCTTTGGTCATATTCAAATAACCTAGCTTTCCTTTGTGCCCACTCAGGGCATCGCTAGTACACGTTTGGTTAACACCAGTTGAATGCTGATAGTTCGAACTGATACAGGTGAAGAAGCTAGCTGCATGGCTAGTTTTATCGTCATGTAACGTTAATATATGCCAATTTCCCTTAAAGAAACAGTTTCTAAGAAATTTCTATCCTTAAGTTCCCCGCCTTCATAGTGCCTTCCCGTTTCTAAGACCTCGTGTGCTTTCACGTAACCGTAATCTAACTTAGCTTCCCACACGATTGCAACCATTAGTATGGCATAAGGAAAAGCGGCATTCATTAAAAAAACTATACAATGTGAATGATTTAGCTATTTGCAGCACTAGACGCGCCATAGTACACGCTGATTCTTCTCTGTAACCGAATGGAAACAATGGTCGCCTTGCTTACAATTCTGGTATTGCAGATAAAGTATTTGCGGCTTGTGCTGTTCCAATACCCAGGGTACATGAGATCTGTTATTAATAATGGAGTACTACCGAAATACTCAACGTTGCTGTACATTTCTTTAACCCCACTGATTATGAAGTCTCGCAACAACCGGTAGATCTTAGTAACACGAGCAGCAATTTTGGGATGCGGTATCGTCTTCGGGCAGGCTACACTCCTTTCGCTATCGAATTTCACTGAGCCGAGTAACGGAGTAGGTATATATATACATATTTATATACTTTTGGTGCATCCGATTGCAACCAAAAGGAGGAGATGCATAACTGCATGCTATAGCAGTCCTATATACAAAATTTCAACCTTCTGAGACTACTCGTTTTTGAGTTATGCGAGATACGTTCGTACAGACGCCACGAAAACATTTCTTCTGAATATATTTTAAATCAGTTTTATAATTCGTTTGGGGAAAAGTTTCCTTTATTCTGTCCTTACGTACAGATATCGCGCAAAAACATCGTTAAATTGCATTCGATAGCTGTCAAAATGGATATTTTGGTTGAGATATGGTAATCAGAATTTTTTGTGACTACAATACTTCTTCCGTACAAGAAAGTAAAAAGTAATTTAAAAAAAGGCGAAAACTTAATTTTACCATAGTTTATTCTTTAACAATTCTATCGGTTTGGAGGACTTATCAGACGCAGGTTTCTCTTCAGAGCCAAGATTTTTATTTAAAAAATCTTTTGCTTCCGAATGACTGACGGATATACGATTCCCCATAACATATATTTGTTCAAAATTTACTGCTTTTTTTCCCTTGTTCTAAAATTATCATAAATAATTATACTAGAAATTTAATTGCTTTAAGTATTGTGCTTCTTGGGGTGTTTCAGTCTAAAGTTAGCAACATTAATGTGAATTTCCAATTTTCGTTGCCAGTGTAGAGTGACTATTTTTCACCCTAGGCAAGTGAGGCACTACCTGATTCTTACCAAGGCTATTCGTTGTACGAATGCTTCACTGAGGCACGTGTCGGGCGAATCTTTTATCCTATTCTGTAGGCTCGTATTTAATTACTAAACTGATAACAATTTAATTGCATTATTTTAACTTAATTGTTGTAATTTAAAGTTTGAAATCGGAATTTAGATTCTTCCCTTATCTGTTTTGCCGTGAGAAGGATAACTTGAATTGTACAAGCTCATATTTTACACAATATAACTAGAACGATAAAAACAAAATATATACGAAAGTGAAATGTATTAGTTTAATTTAATTATACTTCATGAGATTCATAAAATTGGCATATGTGTTTTTAATTTGAAGAGGCCTTTATTAAACTTCTGCTACGTCTCAAATTTTTAGTTACTGGGCATTTCCATATTTCCTCCATGTGTTGCATAAATACTAATTTTCCTTTGTAAAGTACTCTAAAACGTTCTTTCGCTCGAGCAGACAATACAATACGTTTCTTGTAAATAAATATTCAAGATAAACAATTGGGTTGCTAGTTAACAGCAGCAGCTATTAATACAGCACATATTGCGTAATTGTAAATATTGCACTCAAAAATAGGAAATTCAAGGCATTGTTTGGATGTAAATGTCTCGAATATCTGGATACTGTCAGTAAATTCCGAAGTTGGAATTTTTTAATCAAATACTTGAAGAAACATCGGACATTACCATAAATGTGATTGAAATGGCTATTTTGGGCAATGACCTTGCGTGTTTTTTGATAAGTTTATTTTTCACCTTTTTGATCTGTAACTTTATATTACACATTACATTTAGTATAGATAAGTATGGTTTTCATCAATTTTGTGAACTTAATATTTTTCAGAGTATTTGGAAAGCTCTCGGTGTATCAATCAAGTACAATTTAGCCACTGCACTTCTTCAGTTCCCATCCTCTATCAAGTAGACGCAACAAGCCTACAAAGTAGATGTAGGTAAGTAGTTTACATCCTAAAGGCATGCAGCCTTCATATTTTAGCTTTATACAAATGATTCTGAGCAGTACTACAATAATTGTAATAAATGATCAATTTAAAAAATTAGCTTCCATAAAGCTCTTGAAAATTCATCTAAAGTTTCGGTAATATTAATTTTACTATTATGGTGAATCTAAAGATTTTTTACGAGAATCTGTTTCGAAAATTTAGTGAAGGGATAAAATTGGAATGAATTTGTCAGTCTCGAAAATCGAAGCTGTTTCTCCAGGCATGGAGTGGGTAAGATTGTTGCACACGTAAGTCTCTCCAGACTTAAAAATAACTTACTGGCTGCAAGGGTGTATTCATTATTTTCCAAAGGATAAGATGAATTCGAGCCAATTTTCTTTGCTAAATAATCTCTTTAAGCATATAGCCCATGTGCTTTGCCATAATTCAAGGAACAGGCATGATTTGTTTTAGTTTCGCGTAGTCCGTTTAACGTTGGGGTTAGCCGATCAGTGTGATTCTTTTTTCTGGGAGTTGAAAAAACTGTTTCGTCCCTATTTTATCTCAGTGCTGCTGTTTCATGTTCAGATATTACTTCGAAATTATGATAAGTATTCGTATTTTGGGTGCGTCGAAAAATTCAAAGCTAATGACCAATTGGAAGATACTGCATAGATAGTATTCTCCTACAGTTTTTGAATTTTTCATTCATTAATGTGTTCTTAGTTTCATGAATAACGGATTAAAGACAACTTGCACTTTAGTTTCGGATGTTAAAGTGAAAATTCATGTTCCCCATATAAGTAAAAGTAAATCTCTGAATGGAGGTACACTTGAAACTTTTCAGCTGTTACTAAGGTTAAGGCCATAATCCAGTCTCGCCGTTGGGATATTTCCTTTGCCGTTGGGATATTTTTCTTTACATGACTATTATATCTTGCCGTATTATACTCTAATTAAATTTTAGTTTAATAATTTTGTTTATCTTTTGTATATGTAATAAAGCTTGCTTATATATTTACAAATATGAGATGTAAAGAAATTACACATAGTTAGTTAGAAAATTATGTGAGTATCGAATAGAACTCCGGCTAAACCTCTGATGTAACAGAAGGTATTTTATCTATTTCAAAATTATGCAGGTACAATATTACATGATCCGTCATTGTTTCAAATTTTAATCGGCTAGTTTCCCTTTCAAATAAATTGCTTTCCTAGGAAAAAATTCATTCTAGGTAATATTTAGTAATTAGAAGATACGTTTAATTGCAAAAGTTTTTTCTTAAAATTTACGGTAGCCGAAGGTATACAATAGGTAAACAAAATTCTTAAAGGAAAGAAACTTTATTATATCTTGTCATATATTTAGGCATATAACGAAAAATTATCTCTTAAATATACGATAGATAAACAGAATTATTAAACTAAATCAATATAATACGGCAACATATAATATGCATGTAAAGAATAATATGCATTCACGGCGAAACGGCCACTGTGAATAGACATCTGTAATCCCTTCATTGTACTTAACTTGAACTCGTAATAATTAGATGTATATATTTCTTTTTATTAAGAAATCGGCGTGAAAATTGGATTAGTTTCATTAATTAATGTCGGGTAGCAAGAACTCTACACATGTAAAAACATCCATGCCTTTTCAAAGATTTGAATTTTGGCCCAAGCCTTGTAGCAGCTAGCTTTCCTGTCATGTTAACAGGGCAGAAAGTTCAACTTCAAAATATCACCTTTCAAAATGGGGAAGTGGTCATTTAGAAATCCAAATAAAATGCAAGCTTATAACTTCAAAGTGTTCTATATTTGCCAGTCTTCTACCCAGGCAAAATTATAGTATTTGTTAATTTTTCTCAGATAGGTGCATTAAACAAAACCCGCCTTATGTTCTTTTAAGTTATAACAATTAAACATCCACAAGGAACAATGAAATACCTGGAATATTGAAAATACAATAAATAAAAAATTTGTCTAGTTTCCGCTTTTGTATTTTGTAAAATTAATACTGAACAGTAAGCATGCGTTCCATCAGTTATATTGCATATTAATTTACAGGCACCGGAAATCTGGTAGAATTACGTTGCAAATGCAAACTTAATATAATTAAAGTATTTGTGCACTTACGATTAATTGTAAAAATATTCCGATGATTGAAATATATACTCCTGTTGGCCTACGCTAAAAACCTGTTGAAAGTATGCCAGAAAAGTACTTAACTGTGCGAGAAAACGGACATTGCTGAGGCTTTCCTTTCTCCGTAAATATAGCGGATACAATCCTAGTTTAATTCGTACAAAATGACTAATCATTTTCGCTCATGCTTACCGCCTGCTGCCCCTTTGTCAACAGTACTCTAACTTTAATGCAAGATAATAAGTAATGAAAATGATATGCGATCGTAATAAAATTATTTGCTTAACTGGTTTGTTAAGTAGGTATTATGAAGCGTAATAAGCCTGGGACAATGCATTATTATTCTGCATTTTAAATGCTATCTCCCCATAATAAAATGAAATATGAGTAAAACTTTAACTGTTCAACATATAATTAAAGTACTAGATGCCTAATCTGTTGAAATGAGATCGTCGTAATTTGCCACTCTACAATGAAATCAGTCATGTACGATTACTCAAGTATATAAATAGACTGAAATCATTGCTGAAGGATTACATAAATGTTTCGGAAGCTTTGTTTTTAACACGTTCGCTGCCAAGTCTGAAATCTTTCATTCCATTCACATGAGTTAAGGTCTTATCTGTATTTTTATGCCTTTAAATTTTTGTTTTAGCTATATAACCTTGGGTATACGATTACATTTAGCAGTAAATATAGTAGCAGGAGTGTACTCGAAGGTGCCATGTAAAATAGTATTGCTCTCGGTGCCAGCTATTGCAACTCGGACCTAAATAAGCAATACTCATCCGTTCTGTGCATTCATGCGAAACTCCTGTGCAAATACGTTATTTTCCATTAGTCTTAAACGAGTCTCTCGTCAAGAACTTGAAAACGCCGTTTGATATTTCCCAAGCAAATACCCTCCACAAACAAATAGAAAAAAAAATAAATACTTAGAAATCCGATCCAAACAAGTGGAGCGGATTTTTAAACATTTCTTAAGAGTTTGGGGGCCCACCAGCGGCCGAGCGGTAAAGTCGCTGAACACTGGTAGTTCGGTCCGAGGTTCGAATCCCGTGAACGGGCTGGCTGCATGGGTGTTTTCGTGGTTTTTCCCATGTGTAACGTGTATACGAGCCAGTTTCCCTTAGAAAGTCCTCCACGAAAGGCATCCCTCCCCTTAGGCAGATAGCCCTAGTGTGCTTTGCCGTAATTAAATACACCACCACCACCACACCACTTAAGAGTTTGGTTACCATATGTTTTGAGAAATAAGTGATCCATTTCAGTTGGCCAAGTGTATTTAGTCTTTTTGTGCTGCCTCATAAGTTAGTTTTCAAAATACTGGCTTTTACTATAAATTGTAATCGGTTTTCCTCAAATTTGTCCAGTCTTAACTGTTGTAACTCCACGCATGCAGTTTTTTAACATTATTTTTAATATTCGCTTCAGCCATTGACGCAGATAGTCTTGTAAGGTTTTGCACCAGAAATTGCAATATAAATAAAACATTTTCTGTACGCCAAATACCTAAACACTGCACGCATTTGCTACAATTGTTCTTTAAGTAAGAAAATCAGTAACGAGCTCTTGTACCTGGCAAGTTCAGTTTGCCAGATGCGAACAATCTTGTAAATGGTAGCGATCCTGTTAAAATTCAATCAGTGTGATTTGGAAAAATATTATCACTATTGGAAGCATATACATTTGGGTTAAAATAGCCTAAAACAAATGCTATTGATTGAACTGAAACATGCCACCTTCAATTCTTGCTTGTGGAGGACTGGCAATGTTTTGAGCAAAAGTCTCATTCTGGATTTGCCAACTATGTTATTATGGTCTTAAACAAATTTTGAGGTATAATTCATGAAGTAGCACTCAGCACGTGCAGTTTACTTCAGGAAAATGTTAAATTGCTGATACTAACTGAAAGTGATCACAGTAATGCAAGATCATTAACTTAGTCTTCCATATTGCTCATCTGGAAATCGACGCACTTTTGAAACGCAAATGGTACTAGCGCTGGTTATTCAAGTTAATTTAGTAAAACTTACCAAATTTACTAATTCAGAAGTCAAACAACAAAAATCAGCGTTAATTTACAAAATTTTCACAGGACTAGTTTCGATGGTTTTACCGAACCGTCATCTTCAGCTGCAAAACCGCAAATGATTTGCGGTTTTGCAGCTGAATGAAATCGATTAGCCTGCATGTTCCCCAGATATGAACCTAATCAAACATATTTGAGACATTCTAGGGAAAAGGATTGCTAGTTGCTTATCACCCCCAGAAACAGTTTGGCAGGTTGAAAGCTGTCTTCTACAGGAGAGGGAGAGAATGCTCCAGCTCTTCATTGATAATCTTTCCGTTCCTCGTAGGTGTTTGACATTGCTTTCAGTCAGGGCAAACCATACCTTTTATTGAAACTGATTTGTATCCAAAAAGTAACTTTTTTTGTATACTATGCTTAAATTGTACATTTTTTATTTACTGATTCTTTTTTTTACTTTTGTCATACTATACAACACCTATACATCGTACATCAGCCACCAAAACATTTCTTCATCTGCAGTTTATATTCAAAATCATAACATCCTTAGCGAACTTAAATTCGCGAACCCAAGACCATTTAGGGTCACAAAGAGTTCTCTTTGAGGGGCAGAAAAATGCAATTAACGTTTTCAGCAAAATTCTTGTTTTATTTACTATATCAGGTGTCACAATCAAATTATTTGTGACAATTGCACATAATTTGTTGAAGACTCGTGGGAAAAATCTTCTGGTGGTTAACGTCAGTGACCACCGCCCAGAGAACAAATCGGTCTATGGTACTCATGGAAACAGTTTTTCTTTTTCAAGCAGAGTGCAACTTTGCATGTGCTGCATTCCCACACTGTTCTTACAGGCTTTTTCTTGGTGCTGCAGAGTGCACATCGTCGTGATGTTGTCTTCGATGGCTGATGCTTATTTTCTTGAAGATTAACTGCTGCATCAACTACTGGCTTATGTTTCTTGATTGCCATTTAGTGAGCTACAAGGGAACTTCAGAAACAATCAGTTTTGAAAACTACTCACACGAGTGAGCAAGACGTTCAATAAAAAAGGTGGTTAATGTAGATAACCGCCGCCCTTCAAAGAGTTAAGAAACGCCGAACTATAGAATTTTAAGCAGATATTTGTACTCAAGTTTCCAGCAATATAAAAATTAGGGAATTATTGTATCATACGTAATATAGTGAATTTTTATGTACATGATTTACTTTTGTCGCTAGTTAAGTATTAAGGGCCTGAATATTGGTAGTTAAGTCCGAGATTTGAGTTCCGCAAACGGGATGGGTGCATGGATGTTTTCGTGGTTTTTTCATGTTTAACATGCATTCAAGTCAGTTTCGCTCAGCGAGTCCTCCACGAAGGTATCCATCCCCTTAGGTATATAGCCCTGGAGGCTTTGCCATAAACACATGAATCAGAAATCGCAGTGTTAAACGTTTGCTTATGTATCTGGAAATTTATTTCTTGCGGTTTGTAATAATTTTGATTGTTCTGCACATTAAAATAAAATGCTGACTTTTTGTTAAACCATGTACTTCGTACTTTTGCCAGTATGTTTAATCCTCGAAACATTTTCTCTTATAATTTCACTCAATTCAAGCTCGTCTGTTAACTATGTTGATTAATGTACAACATAAAGGTATTAACTTTCTTCAGATGTATTGAATTTTTCTTGCATTTTTTCTTTTTAAGAGACCGTGAAGACAATATGAGATGCTTTTCTACAGCTATCTTAATGCGTTGTGGTACTGAAGCAGCAACATTATTCCTGAGACTCGTGGTTTTAACTACAGATGATGATTTCTTGTGTTCACCTATTAGCAATGGAGCTGTGAAAAACTATTACGAAGGACATGGAACAACTTCCCCATATATTGCACAAGAAAGAACAGGTTTAGTTGCAGAAGATGAATTCCAAGCAAATATTAAGTATGATGCTAAAACTCCGAAAGTTTCACTAGTGAAACCTTTAATACTGACTGCTGAAGAACCTTGTGATACGGCATCGAATGGGCTTCCAATTAGTTGTGCTAATGAATATTATTTTGACTATGAAAATGATGCTGAGAACTCGGACTATGAATTGGTGGAAGGTTCTGCATCTGGTGATGTCGACGAAGACGTAACAATTCCAGAGATGACAGCCAATTTATCCCATGACGTCTTTGTTACAGCAATGCCCGTTGTTGAAAATATGATAAATCCGCAGTTGAACATCAAAGCTTGTAAACATTCAGATGGAACTTTGCGCATACATTGGGAACAGCCTTTCGTAGCACCATTTGAAAGCATGAGATGCCATAAGACAAGTGACCATGAGAAAATGTTTGGAAAATCATTTAAATGTGTTGTGGTTCTTTAAATCCGCATATCAAGTCTATGTAATCTGATTCAACTGCAAAAATAGTCTATAGACTATCTCATTTGTGTCTCAGTCCGAAGAGGAGAAAAATTAGCGAACACAAAATATTGCTTCAAATCGAGTTACTCTTGGAAAAAGTTGTGTCCTTTTTCTAAATGACAAAAGTGCTCTGTGTAGAAAGTTCTACTCCAAAATTAAAAATCTAAAAAATGCTAAATGAAGAAATATTTGAACTGTTGCTTAAATTCCTAATGTCCGATATTTAATACCAAGTTTATTCTTAGTAAGATGTTAGTTTAAATTTGTTTTTAATAAGCTATTGGTGCATTCAATAAAGTCTTAAAACATTCTTTGGTTTTTAAGCTATCAGTTCACATTAAGAGTACATTTGAACTGTGGAAATAAGATATCAAAAACTTCTGAACTCTGTAGGCTAACAGTTGAAGTAGACTGAAATTCCTAACTTCAATAACTTTGTAATATTTGTATAAAATGCAAGACTTGTGTAACTTCCCCGACATTCAAAATTAAGTTGTAGGAAATCAAAGAAATTTGATTATTGGAAGATTTTTAGAGAAACTAAAAATTCAGATGAAATATTAGTAGGTTCAGTTCTCGTATCAATATCATAACCACACGGAACAATTTTAAATAAAACGAAACTATTAAGAAGCCGATTGATTTAATAATTTAGTTTTAATTTTAAGGTTTAAATAACTTTCCTGCTTTCAACCCTCTGTAGACTAGTGCAGCTTTACTCTCAAATCGAAATTATGTTGATGTATTAAAACTTCTACTGTAAGCTGGAGCATAAATGTTGAATCTTCAATAACCTACATACCCAACTAACAAAATAAAGTAGGTTTTTTTACATTGCAACTACAAGATAAATTAACCATTTTATGTTAATATGTTTTTGAGAAAAAAAAACCTGCATTACAACTCCTTGTTTTGTATACAAACTTTTGCGTTTAGAGTCGCTATATCGCGTAATTTATCTTTGACATTCATATCACAATGAACTACAGAAGCCTCGATTAAGTATAAATTTTAATGATTGGCGATATACCATGGACGAATTCTTCGCAAATTTTCTCTATACCAAGAATTCGTTCCATATGAAACTAATTCTTACCGGTTTAGCCCAGAACATTCTCGAACACAAGCCGAAAGCTATATAAACCCTGCTGGTCCGCAGTCAGTGTGTGCCTCATCTAGCGAGCTGATAGTCAGTCATTGAGCGAGTGTCTCGAAGTCTAGCGCGCCGAGTTGGTCGTCGAGGGCATCGAAGAGTCTTTTTAGTGTATCGCAGTTAGTGCATGGTTGAGAGAGTGTGTTAAGCTCCGGGAACGACTGAACCGAAAACTAGGGAGCTGTTCTCTGTGTGTCGTCGTGTGCATCGCGAGTTGTAGCATGGAGAGTCTCGAGAGTACGTGGATTTCCGAGAACGACTGAGAAGAGTTGGGAGCTGTAATCTGGTGCTTTGCAGTGAAGCTGTCCCGCCTTGCAGCCACATTTAATAGCCTGATAACCTGAAGGCTGTGTCGCTGATTGTGTCAACGTGTTTGTAGTAGTTCGACGATTGTAACGCGATTTTGGAGCTGTCCTGATTAGTACTAGCCAATAAAGTGAGTTTCGATACTTCATCAATTAGTATTTTCATTATTAAACTCCAAATCCTCACGAACCCCTTACGAACGTGAAGGAAGAAAATAACGTAACAACTGATGTCTGAAAAGAAAAACGCAACAATACTATTCCTATGGTAACCAAGGCTGAGTGGAATTTCCCTTGGTAGAGAGTACATCAGTTTACCTAAATTTTTATTTGTCATAGTTTGTTTTTGGCAATGTCCAAAAAGAAATCTTAAGTTTGAATGTCGTTTTCGGACAAATTTTCTACCGCATATTACACTCAACAGTTATGAGTTTAAACAGGTTTTCAGATAAGCTGGGATCTACGACTACTCCATTGAATTTACAATTGGTTTTTGTCACATAGCATAGCTGTTACAAAGAACAAGAAAATTAATTAAAAATTTTTTGTCAGTCCTTCTATCGAAATTCTAAATTGAGTGAAATCTTTTTTCTTCCAAATGTTTTTCATATAGGCACAAATTACTTGCACAAATTTTAACAAACTAATCTTGAAATGCTCGAAAACATTTTAATTCGAATAATTACTACATGTCGAACACGGCAAACCGTAGTTACAATACATTGCATATCTACAGAAAAGACTATCAAAAAAGGATTGCAGCCGACTCTTTGCATTTCTTTTGAAGATCTGGATGTAATCGAAACTACTGCTAATTCACGCAGCGCGCCATATAGTGAAAACAAATTTGTGTATTTTTTCCCCTTGGAGGCCATTTTCGATAATAGCAATGCTACATGCGACGTCCAAAATATAAACTGTTTAAGAGATCAATTTCTAAATTTTTCTTAAGATTTTCAAATTCCGTTCATGGAAATTATTAGATTAAGCACAACATAAGTAACAAATGAAAATTTAAATAAAAATGGATTGACCTTAAATAGCAAACAGTTTTATTTTCCCCATACTACACCTAGACTATTATTAATCTACTGATATAAGAATCTCCTAAAAATACTGAATTAAACTGATAATAGTATGTTTATTATCAGACGATTATATTTCCACAGAAACTTTATTTTGTTTTAAAAAGTAAAGCAATATACATCGAGGCAATAAATCCTGTAATCTTTGTTTAAAAATCTGATATTTATATCACATGACTTCATAGTACGGAATATTAAATTATACGCATTTTTTCTTGCATTTCATTTAAACTTATTGGATTGAATTAAATCTAGTTCGTCGATAGCGCATAAACCACAATAGAATAAATGCACTTTAAATTCACTGTATTTATTTACCATAGCGACGCTCTGCCTCTAGGTTCACTTAACAGCGTTACATCTCATTCATTTTGTCTCCGAATGCACAAAATTTATATCATCGGAATAATTATCTAATCGTTGCCGCATGTTCTATTCAAATACTATAATAAATCTAAAACGATGCATAAAAGAAATTAAACAAGAAAAAAAAAGGGGGGCACCGTGTTTCACAGACGATTCAGCATTTCTCATTTATTTAATTCAGTTCTCCCTTCACAACAAGGCAAAACTTCATAAAAGCTCGAAATATCTATATTAAAAATTACGAAGTAAATCTTAAACAGTTATTTCCTCGAATAAATTCCAAAATGGATCGAGCATGATTTAATTCACAATAATAAAAAAAGGTTATCTTTTTTTTGTTGTGGAGGTTAGTTTTAGATTGTCAAGAAATCCACCATTCTGGCTAAGTTTCAAATATAAACAAACATAGCTGCTATAGTAAAATAACTTTTAACTTGTTGATAATTCTACAAATATTGCATTCATATTTACTAAAGACATAAAAACCTAAACTGGAAGATAAGAAAAATATAATTCAATCATTTTTAAAGCAAACAATGCATAATTTAAGAACAGATAAGAAACTGAGATTACTGAGCCACGTAACATGGTGGATATGTATTACATATATTTATATACTTTTAGAGCTGCGGAAATGGGAAGGGCGACCGAAATTGCAACCGAAATGGAAAGTGCATATCTACGTGTTATAGGAGTCTTATATACAAAATTTCAACATTCAAAGGCTACTCGTCTTCGTGTTTTGTGAGGTACATTATGTACGTACAGACGCCACGAAAAAAAAATCTTTTCAGAATTAATTTTAAATCTGTTTTGTAATTTTTTTTTTGGGGGGCGGGAATAGTCTTTTATTCTATCAGGCAAAAACGTCGTTAAATTGCATTCGATAGCGGCCAAAATGGATATTTTCGTTAAAATATGAAACCCAAAAGTTTTCGCGATTACAATACTTCCTTTTTACTTCGTACAAGGAAGTAAAAAGCGAGTCCTTTAAAAAATTAACTAAAATGCAAGAAACTGTCTGCCTTTATAGTAATGAATTTTGCAACAATACAAAGGAATCTGCAGAACAGATTAAACGGGACGAGCTAAGAATATTTGCGGAGAAGGTAAAGCATAGTTACCATGCAAGTGATTAAAAATGTTGGTTGTACTTGCCTGCCTGGGCACTGTAACTTGTCAACGATCATGCGAAACATTATAAGAAAGTTGTTGAGAGATAGAAAACTAGCCTTTTATCATCAGTGAGCTAGAAACTGTCCTGGGTGATTTTCTGTACTTTGACGACGCCAATGAGAATGACATAGGCAAAAACTATAGAGTTCTAGGGCGAGTGTGAAAAGCTATTTTTGTACCAGGATATTGCTGTTCATGCGAAACATAATAATACAACAGTAATTCAAGTATAGAAGCAGGAGATTAAAGAAAGCCAGGTGAATTGAAATTGCGATAAAGGACCACGGAATGTGATTACACTGTGGACTAGTAATCATCTCATCTGCATAACAGTGATAAACAGTGCAGCTTCTTTTTAGAGTTAACATAACATGAGCACGTTTTAGAATATCGCATTGTCTGATTTAACGATTCTAAGGCGCCTGCAATTCGGAGAAGTGCGTACAAGCATATCTCTAGGGAAGATTTCCTACACCATATATCGTCTATGTATTGAGCAACAAGGAATGTATAAATACAGATAATGTCTTGCAGATTGGCTACAAATCATATTTCTTCATGATTTCCACATTAACCTGGAGCACAGTGATAGTTGTATATACTGTATCGTGGTTTGGACGATTTTCCGAGTGCATTTAAGATTATCATACTAGATTATTCAAAATTTACTTCGGAATTCTAAAACACTATTAAAAAGAAAAAAAGGAACTAAGACGAATATAGCAAAAACGAACCTTTCACAAAATACAGAAACAATTCAATTTATTTTTATAAAAGAAGCTAGCAGTAGGTGGCAGCACACATCTGACTGAAAGTAGTAGTTAAGTGAATCAAAATGATATTCATGGCCAAACAAAAAAAAGTTTTCGTTTATTAGAATTTACTAAATCGGAATCAGTCGTGTTGATGCAGTGAGCATTTCACATAAAATATCGAATACAGGGACCCAATGACAAGGCAATTCATGTGTGGTATAACAAGCTCAAAGGAACTGGATGATTGTGTGAATTGTTTGGTCGGGTCCATCTGCAAAAATAATAAGTAATGTACGGGAGACTTTCCGAGACCAACGAAATTACTGTTCGTACAAGCCGTGAATTGAGGATATCCTAAGGAATAGTGTGGCGAGTGGTGCGTGAAACTCTCCATATGAAACCATACCGATTGCAAATGGTGCAAGCGCTAACTTCGGGAGATTGCATTTCTTGCATGAACTTTTACATTG